TTTATCAAATAACAAAGCTGACGCATTTCATGCATAATACTCTTTTCCAATTGCCTCAAGATTTAAATTTGACATAGAATGATGTCCACCACCTAGGTTTAACATAAATATAGTTCTATCCACATCTAGCTCCTCTTCAGCCCCTACATTGCCACCACAGATTATTTTAAGCATTTGTGGGTATCAAGTGAAAATGATAATCAGTTAAACTTCAAATAAAGCTAACCTCAGGTAAAGCATATCAGACACACAAAACACCAAACATAGCGGAGGAAAGACAATTAGACAAATAATAAGCACATAATGAAGCATATAAGGATCCTGCATGTTAGATTATAACCACGCAAACAGCAAAAATCAAGAGGTAAAGGTTAACTTTATAATTCAATCAGTTCGCACTTAGATATAGAGAAAAATAAAAAATGATACGCACCCCAATGCTTCTAATAATCCACAAGCAAACAGCCATCAGCAACCCAACCCCACTCTTATTAAACGCCAACGACTCCTCAAAAATTATTCCAGCATATCCCAATGCAAACACCAACGCCATGGCCACATCCTGCAGCATTATCACAACAATCACCATGAATTTCTCCAAAGCAGCACCTTTTCCAAAAATAACATCAACCCCCCCCCCAAAAAAAAAACCTGGTTAGCAGCAACCCAAGAGTGATTAATGGCAACTGTCCCAGCCAAAGCCGAAACAAGAACAACAATCGCTTTAAGCAAATCAGTCTTCGGCTGATAACTCTCCTCAAAATCCTGCGAGCTGACGTCATCGACCGAGCACAAAGGATCACAATTTCCATTTCCAGAACCATCCATTATCTCCTAATGACAACAACCACCCCCAGCTCAACAATTAGTGGAAAAAGATGGAATCTTTGCTAGCGAATTTGAAGTTACCTTGCAATCTCTCCCATCGGAGTCGGTTTCGGACTGAAGAGAGGAGGAGATTGGAGAGTTCTTGGCTTTCTCTTCTGCTTTCGTGATGATGATGGAGCTCCGCCATGGGCGTTTGAATTCGGAGGAGAGAGGGGGGAGAAGCTTTAGGGTTAGCGCACGGGGTTTGGACGCTGAGAAGAGAGGGGATCGAGGGGAAATTAGGGTTCCGATCGTTAAGTAGGAAGAAGAAGAGAGAGCCATTTTTGGAGGACGAAGAGAGAAATTTTGAGGGAAAAAAAAAAAAAAAAAAAAAAAAACAGAGAGGGGAGGCTCGTGAGAGAGAGAGGGATGAGAACAAGGAGGCGTGAGAAGATACGGTTTTTGTGGGGCCCGGTCCTTTGACGACCATTACGAAGTCACAACGGAGTCGGCCTTGAATTCATTTTCCTATATTTTTGTGCTAATTGCAGGATAAACTCATGTGCATATTTAATTCTTGGGTGGCACTACAGGCACACCCATCTTATGCCACAACCTCTCTCTCAGCCATAGTGCACGGGGCCTACACATAGGATTTTTGTGCACGGGGCCCACACATAGGATTAAATCCTATGTGTGGACCCCGTGCACTGTGGCTGAGAGAGAGGGTGTGGCACAAAGTGTGCCAGTACCATCTTCCTTAATTCTTACATGCTTATTTTTTCTAGGGTAAGTAGGAGTAGGGCCGGGATTTTGTTCGAATTCTATTTTCTATAGAATTGGGTGATCTATGCTATTTAAAGGTTTAGAGGATTAGTTGAAATTATGGCTCACACCATTCTTATCTCATAAAGACGGATCTGATAGGATCTCTACTTCTAAATGAAATACAAACGGTGCCATCCTTTTAATTTACCAAATAAAACTATTTAATTTTTTTTAAAAGAAATGTTTTGACCTTGACGTTTCCTTGTCACAGATACACGACCTATACTCTCTTAAACCGAACTACTTCAATGTGTACATCTTATTGCACTAATTTCCAAAGGGAATAGGTTCCTATTGGAGTTCATCGCTTAACTTTTCTTTTCCCCTTTTTTTCTTCTTTGGAAAATAAATAGCAGCCGTTTGTGATGCTGCTGATGTGGTCCGCTTAATATTCTCTTTTTATTATTGCATACATTACAACTTGAGTGCTTGAGGTTTCCCTTCCGTATTTGTTGTAGCTGCGCCTGTGGTTTTCAGGCACTGCACTCATCAATCAACAGGGAATAAAACCAGCCGGCCAATAAAAAGGGGAAATTTCTTCCGGCCCTCAATTTCCTTGCAAATATTCCGTCCATTCCCAATACTTTTTCAACGTTCCTAAAACCCCAAAAAGTAAACACATAATTCTCTGAGCCCAAAAACACAAAACTAAAGAGTTTTAAATATGTGAAGACCATAATATCAATTCTTTCTTCCTCTGTCTTTTTATTATCTGTGATGATTTGAAAGGGTTTCCTCCGTCACTTTCCCCGATGACGGCCGCCAACGATTCGAAGAAGACGGTCGTCCTCCAGAGCTCCAACGGTGAGGAGTTCGAGATCGAGGGTGCCGTGGCCATGGAGTCGCAGACGATTCGTGAGCGCCGGAGGAGATCGCCGGGGCTTTGAAGAGAGTGATGGGGGAGTGAGTAATGGGGGAGGGGAGGAGTACGAGGAAATGAGGATCAAGGAGAAAGAGCTCAGGGCGGCGGCGCATAGGGCGGTGGAGGAGGTTGGGTTGATATTATCTCATTTTTTATGTGGGTTTCTCTTTATAAGTCCTCTAGTGATCTTTTTCCATCTGGGTTTCTCTAACTTTGAAGAAAAATGAGTCCTTTTTTGCAATCAGTTAATGGAGTTATTGAAGAGATCATAAACCTCCATAGGTCTCTTCTACCAAGGCCAAGTATTGTTGAGGTTGAAGCAGCTATGAAAGTAGTTAAAAGCATAGAGAAGAAGGAGCTAGCAAAAATGGAGTCAATTTCAAAGCAAAGGAAATGTATTGAGATCCCTGAGGAGCTCTTCTTTGTTCTCCAAGAGATGCAAAAGAATTTGGTTTACTTTCAGAGTAAAGAGTAAAAGAGAGAAGCTCTTAAGTTGCTTGATCTTGAGAACATCCATTCATATTAGACGAATTGATTTAGAGAGCATCTAGTTGTGTTCCTTCGAGCTCGAATGGGTCCTCTCCTTCGATTCCTACGAGTTCTAGGAGTGGATTTGGTTCTCCAGCTATTGTTTATTACTCAGAGAAGGAGACTGAGAGGAGTACCAAGAGAGTTTGTAGAGATGATAGTTATGTGAAAGAAAGTAAAGTTCACAATGTATATTAATGGAGAAGGTTACAGGTTGATTGTTAAGATTACGCGTTGGTTCTGAAAGTTACGCGTTGGTTGTTAAGGTTACAGGTTGATTGTGAAGGTTACTAGTTGGTTGTTAAGGTTACACGTTGGTTATTAAGGATAAGTGTTGGTTATTAAGGATAAGCGTTAGTTATGAAGTTAACCTTAACAACCAACCTGTAACATTAACAACTAACGCGTAACCCTCACAACGAACGCGTAACATTAACAATCAACCCGTAACATTCACAACCAACCCGTAACCTTCACAAGACCCGTAGCCTTCAAAACCAACCCGTAAAACATTCACAATCAACCTCGGTAAGGAGTTAGTTGTGAATGTTAACTTCACAACCAATGCGTAACCTTCACAACCAACGCTTATCTTTAACAACCAACCCGTAACCTTAACAACCAACCTGTATCCTTCACAACCAACGTGTAACCTTCACAACCAGTGTGTAACATTAACAATCAACCCATAACCTTCACAACCAACCCGTAACCTTCACAACCAACGTGTAACCTTAATAAGATCAACCCGTAACCTTCACAACCAACGCGTAACCTTACTAAGCAACTTGTAACGTTCACAACCAACCCGTAAAACCTTCACAACCAACCTCGGTAAGGAGTTGGTTGTGAAGGTTAATTTCATAACTAACGCGTAACATTCATAACCAACGCTTATCCTTAACAACCAACACATAACCTTAACAACAAACCCGTATCATTCACAACCAACGCATAACATTCACAACCAACACTTATCCTTAACAACCAACCCGTAACATTAACAATTAACCCTTAACCTTTACAACCAACACGTATCCTTCACAACTAACATGTAACCTTCACAACCAACGCATATCCTTCGCAACCAATCCGTAACATTCACAACCAACGTGTGACATTCACAATCAATATGTAACCTTCAAAACCAACACGTAACATTTCTTCACCACCAACTCATAGGCTTAAACAATAAACTTATTACAGTGAAATAATAAGAATGTATAAATTTACATACTCTAATTTAATCTCAAGTCATCGATTTAAAAAAAAATTACAACAATATGTAAACTTAAGGGGGTTGGCGACGCAACTCGTCATCACCGTCTTTATGATGGAGTTTTCTTCGCCTCATGAACGCCTCATGAACGAACGTCGGGAAAGTTTCATCGCCGATGTCAATGCCGTTGAAAAAATTTGGAGGGAACTAGAATTTTTCCCAAAACACATTTCAAATCATCACAGTAACATCATGAAAAAAGAGAGAGAGAAGTGATATTATGGTCTTCACATGTTTTAAACTATTGGGTTTTGTGTTTTGGAGGCTCACGGAATTATGTGTTTACTTTTGGGGATTTTGGGAGCGTTGAAAAAGTCTTGGGAGAGGGTGGAATACTTCTAAGGAAATTTGGGGCGCTAGAAGCAATTTCCCCTAATCTAACACCATTGCCTTTTCATTCTTATTTTCATTTGGATTTTTCTAATAGGTGCCCATTAGCAGATGAGAACGATACAAATAGGAGAGATAATGAGAGAAATTAGTGTAAATCAGAGAGATATACTTGCTATTCATTTCTCTCTTTCTCATCTCCTAATGCGTACCCATGGGGTGCCTCTTAGGGAAACCATTATTACTTGTCCTCACTTTTGTTTTCTTGTTTTCTTCGTTGAAAACTGGCCCGGATGCTTCACTACACGTCACAATTGGGAGCTCATTACTTGAATTACTCTTCATTGGAATTGGACAACTCGTTCCTGGCGAAAATAAAACATACTACTCTTCTTCATTTCCTCGGTGACAAATTGTGCTTGAACAAACCTTACATTTTAGCACAAACAAGCTACATATAAGTCATATTGTTTACATAGAATTTCTGTTTTCAAGCAGATACATAAACGTTAAAAAAGAAAACAAAAGGAGTCAAGATCTATATCCTGAGCTTGAAAATGTATCGGCTTGGAGATCAATTAGTCTTGAGATGCAGATTGGAATATAAAGAATGCTGTCAGGACTCCAACGAGTGCTGTAACAACCAATGCTAGTGTTGGTATGGGTGTAACAAAACCGAAATTCTGCAAAACGAATAAAAATTAATCATCAGATTTTCAGAACTTCAGGTTTAATAAGGTAAAAGTGATACTTTCTCATACAAAATATGGAACGCATAAAACTGTAGTATCTTCCTACGTCACGGTCACTACCCTTCTCCCTGATCAAAATGTGGCTGACTAATAGGAAAACATCAATTAATTGCCTGAACCGTTATATAAATTTTGAGTGGGTAATTGTTCATACTATGGCAACGTCATGAGGAAACCTATACATGAACACAAAAGTCAGAAGTAGGAATAGAAACTTTGTTTCTCAGGCATTTTAAGCTCGCACGATGAGGGATCAAACATCTACATATGCTTTAAGAGCAATAACAGGCGTTCTAGAAGGGGGAAAGAAGTTGATATCCTAGGCACAACATAAGTGAAACAGCAAAACATTAGTTGTATTTCCATGGAATTTTTTAAATACATAAACAGCTGATGTAATTGTGAATCTCCTTCCTATATGTTGGCTTCTTTGCAAGCCCTATGTCGCTATCCACACAAATGATGAATATAGGACCTTAACAGGAAATTCAGGGAACGAAGATCTTCCTATCTCAGCGAGCTGAAGAGGGAGATATAGCAAATAGTTGACTTTTACCATTTTACAGCTTGAATCAGGCAGATTTGTTGGATCCGTGCAAATAAAACTAGTTAAAAGCACCTAAAAGCACTAAAATTTACTGAAAAAGTTGCAACAGATAACAATGGATATTAAGTAGCCATACAGCCTCCACGAGGAACAAACATATCCTAATTTATCACCAACACAAATTAGAAATAGATAAATAAAACCATCTTATAAACGTACCTCCAAAAGTCCCTTCCCTGTTGCTACTTCGACGGTGATTGCTGTTGCAAATCCAACCATTGCTAGACGTCCAAGCCAGATACCCAAACCACTACTTTGTTTTGCACCTTGCTCACATCTTATGGAAACTGACCTCCCATTAGTTTGCAATTTTCTTTTCCTGCCAGCAGTCCAAATGACTGCAGATATATCCACAGCCAGGATGTTATGATCTAAAGCAGTATTACGCTTACTGAAGATTTTGCGGCTTTTCACGTAATTAGCAGAACACCAAAGAAATAGTGTGATCAAGTTTTATACAAGAGAGTACCAAATAAGGTTTTATACAAGAGAGTACCAAATAAGTGTCAATATTCTAGTCACATTTTATAATTATCATTATTTCTTGTCAAAATGATGAAACTCAACAACGGGCTTGCCAATTTCCATTCGTATTTACACCAGAATATGGGAGCCTGCCATTTTAGTCGATTTACTTATTTAGTTCTATTCTTCAATTGAGTGTTGCTACAGGGACCCAAATAGGGGACCCAAGGCATGGGACAGGTGAGGTGTCACCATCCGGTTGCATGATATACTGTTCATGCACTGTTCATGAACAGTGCATCATGCAACCGGGTGGTGACACCTCACCTGTCCCATGCCTTGGGTCCTGTCCCATGCCTTGGGTCCTCTATTTGGGTCCTTGAGTCATTAACGTAATTGCATCAAACGATACTTATCTAGAAAAATAAATGTACGGACAATTTCATTGGGCATAATGAGCTCACAAATGTAACTTGCTTGTGAGTGGACCTCAACATCAACAGGAAACCACCCACCGGCGGACCGAATTAACCCAAGAAGGTAATTCTTTTAAAGTATTAACTCGAATCCAATTTAAGTTTGTTACCCTCTTTCCACTCCTTTCCCAATACAATTTTGTTTTGTTGTTCTTTCTTTCTTTCTTTTTCGATTTATTTGGACCTAATACAACCGTAACATAATTTTCTTTTCGAACAACATAGACGGAATCGAGTTCTGATTTGGGCAAGCAGCAAGCATACAGTTTGTACTAAATTGCAACCCAATAGTTTGATTAGACGAAGGCAACCGCTTCTGCTAGCTAATTCACCAAACAAACAAGCCAAATTTGCATGATAACCCAACAGAGGACCAGCAATGCAAAAAAGACGAGAAGAGAAAGGAGAAAAGCTTTTACCAAGAGAAGAGCCATTCTTGAAGGGGGAAGCAAGCCCCGAGCAGACTCTTGAAGGAGAAGAAGAGTTGGGTAGCTGTAGAAGAGCGCAAGGGCCTGTCGATTTTGCAGCTGAAGCATCTGTACAAACAAAAATTACAAATATAAATCAGCAAATTGCATTTTTTAGAGAGAGGGAGGGGAGAGGGAGAGAGAGGTACTCAAGAGAGAGAAGCAGGGAGAAGGAGAGAGGCAGGCTTGAGCCATTGGCGATGAAGAAGAGTGAGAGGAGCTGCTGTTTCCTTTTCTGGGTCTTTCTTCGGCTGTAGATATATTATCTTATCCCTTGTTTCGGTTGCCCACACATTTCCTCTCGACATTTGTAATTTTGGGAGTCAAGAAACTTATTATTATTACAAATTTTAACTTTATCAAGGTGTAATCTGGACATTATTTTGTTTTAACGTCTAACTCTGTACTGTTGTTGTTGCTGTTATCTTATTATTATTGCTATTCCTGTTAAATACAATTATTTATATTACTATTGTAAGGTTATACAAAATGAAATACATAACTTCAACTGAAAGGCCAAGGGTAAGTTCTGCTGTCAATTTGCAAAACGAACCGCCGCCATTTTATATCTGCGCGCGCGCTTGTAGACAGTAAGCACGAGGTAGCTTCTCACAAACGTTACATATTTTGAGGCCCACTCTATTAGTCACATTTTACAGAAGGAAGAAAATAAAAAGAGATGGACAGGAATTCATCTCCTGCTTTCCTTCAAACTTAATTTCGTTGGGGCTAATACGGTGAAAACATGAATCACATGCGTAACGCTACTAGCAAAATAAAAGACAATCACAGTGTGTAACCCAGCAACAACCATCTAATACACCACTCACACTCAGCACCCAACCGACAAATTTACCATAAACAACAAGAACATTCACAACAAACGAAACCGATTAAGGATATCAACACGTACGTATCACTAGACATTATAGTACACCAAACTGAGCACTGCCATGAAGAGATAAAGAACACCCAGAACTTCCGCTCGTGGCTGGTTCGCTCGTGGCTGGCCGCTGGAATTGGCATTGGGCCCCGAAGCTGAACCTGATGATGAGCTGGCACTGACAGGTGGCAGTGGTGGTGGTGGGTCCGCGATGCTGGCAGATTCTAGGACGGCTGCAGGGGCTTCAGCTGGACTTAGGGCACCCGATGGGACCAACGATAGGAGATCTCCAGCTTGGACTGGGAAGATGGAGTAGGGTTTGGAGTTTGGATCAGCACATGGACTCCCTGAACAATATAGATTGACATGTTAATGTCTGTTGCATTGACACTCGAAGAAGAATTTCAAGAGAGAATGAATTAAGGAGAAGGGTTAATCGCAAATAGAGAACCCCTGTAGTTCTATTGCTGCTTTCTTGCAGATAGACCCATGATTTTGTTGACTCCTACACCCTCAGAGAAAGAGGAAACTATTTTTGACAAATAGACCTCCAGAGGGCAAAAGAGTTTTTCACTCGGGGAGCAAGAATAAAACTACATGGGCCTATCAGCAATTAACCCTAACAAGAATGAAGAAGAATAGCATATTGATCCTTCTAAATAGTTTTAGGTACAATACTGCATCATGAGCTAACTTGAGTAGCATTATAAGCTTTCCTACCCATCCTGCAAACCCCTAACAACGCCCTTTCTTTATTTCCTCCCTCTCCTTTGTTGTGTGCACACATACACGCACACATGTTGTGGCTGACAGCTGACACTCTTTTTAAAGACACAACGAGCACAAAAATGAGGTCACAATGGACTTGTGGATGTATACTACGACTCTAAGATATATGATGAGAAATGAGTGCTTGGAGAGCCCATTGAGATGGTTCGCCACCATACAACAAAAGCCACAACTCACCAAGTTAGAAGAGGTGTGGAGATTATAATTAATGGAACAAGGAGGCCTGGAGATAGGCTTAAGAGAACTTGGATGGAATCAACTAAGAATGATATAACAGTGTTTACCCCTAAACAGAATTGAATGGAAGAATATGATTCACGTAGGCTGACCTCATTCTCAACTACAATGCTTAGAATTAGGGGTGCATTCGGTCCGGATATGGTTCGGATATGACACTTATCATATCCATATCCGCTTTCTAAAAACAAATATGGATACAAATATGCGTCGGTTAGAAAAAGTCAAGACCATATCTGCGCTAAACGGAAATAGATACGGTTCGGATATTAGAGAATCAAATAAAGTTATGATCACATATACAAATTGGATATTTAAGAAACATATATGATTCAGACATATATCGGATATGACAAAAAATGTACAACCACAGAATAAGATAGTACATACAGATAGAATCACTTATCTAATCTAAACATTGAACAAGTGGCCAAGGTTCAAATCTTGGCAAGTTTGCATTATATTGTTATTCATATTTTTTCTTAAAATCAATATCCGGATATCCGAACCATATCCGCTAGTTAAACCCGATTACTGTATCCAGAACCGTATCTGAGTAAAAAGGGAAAATCATATCCGAAACCGAAACCGTATTCGATCAGTTTCAGATTTTGGCTACCATATCCGCATCATTATCGGATATGGTTGCGGTCGGTTCGGATATATCCGAACCGTTTAGCACCCCTACTTAGAATACCTTAAGAAGGCTCTCGCCTGGGACCGTTGAGAGCAATTTTATCGCCTTTTGTGTTGACAAAAAGCGGAGTCATGTGAGAATAAAAAAAATTGTGTTCAGCATTGCTACATAATCATTACATAATCTGCTATACTGCTATTGACACAACTTTTTGTACTATCGGTCAACATCAAACTGCCCATAAAAGATAATACTTGGGAACTGAATTCTTAGATAAAAAAACGGCACGGATAAATAGCCAACAATAATGGTAACACTGATGATACTAGTCATGGTGATGGCAATAGTAAGATTGTACCACAAATTTTAATTTGGGCATGATATTTCGATTCAGAGACTTGTGGCTTCTTTATTTATGTTCTCAAATTAATGTACTCAGCTTTTTGTGTGATTATTCAAATCTTATCAAGGTTATTAATCTTAAAGATTAAAGCAATTGTTTTTTCCTAAAGTACATAGGACTTTCATTATCTCTTAAGTGTATGCAAAAATCACATAGCATCTGTTCCTAATAGCAAATGATTGATCTCTTCAACTTTTTATATATTAAATATAGATGATGCATAATGCTTACTCAGGTAGGCGTTAGCAGTTTTTGGGAATTCTGTGATAACTCCATCCACCCCCTGACTAGCGATAAAACTTGCAAGTTCCTCCATAGGATCAGAGAAGAAATCAAATGCCACCGCCATGAATTCATTCCTCAGTACTTCCACATAAACAGAGATGTTGGCTGCATGCATTTCTTTCACCACATTGTAGGTAGTAGAGAGGAAGGAGTCTGTGAACTTAAAAATGGAAGATCTTGTGATGGTAACTGAGTCTGCGAACTTCTTGATCTCATCCGCAGAAGGCTTCGGAACATCACTTATTGTCTCTTCGATAAAAAGGACTCGCTTGTAGCTGGGAGAGGTCTTGAATACAGAGAGAACTGAGGTGTCATCAGACTGGATAAATACTTGCTGATTGGCCACTTTGTCATAAGTGGCTTTAGTCAAGGCCGAGGAGACTGCATCAACTATACCAAGACCCTTCTGAGATGCAAGGAAAGCAGCATTCTGCATGTTATAAGAACAAAAAAAAGGGGTTAGCTTCATTATGGGTGGTTCAACTCTTTCCAATTTAAAAAAAACGCTGGTGATTTTGAATGGTTCTGTTCATCCAAGTATAGCAATTCGATATTTCTGCAGTCTGGATTCTCAGCTTCGAACATCATAATATTTTCTATTGGAGAATATTTTTTTCTTGCAAATGCGACGTATACATAGAGCCCAAAGATATGCACAAATATAATCATCAAGGCCTTAACAGATATGTGACAAATCTGATGTTGAAAAAAGAAAATATAGAGTGGGTTTGCTCCAGTCGTCTGAGTGCCAAGTTTAAGCATAACACATTTTAAAAGATAGCAAGACTTCAATCAAGAAATTCTGGTGCATAAGAAACTGAAATAGTGAAACAATATCCACAGTTCAAACAAACATAAGCTTGTTAAAGGCTATGTTTAAACTGCAGATAATATTGAGGATAGTGGGCCCCATGAACTTTGATTCAGGTTTTTTATATTCTTGTTGTATAGCCTCAAAGTGAGTACTGTTGTTGTTGCTGTTATCTTATTATTATTGCTATTCCTGTTAAATACAATTATTTATATTACTATTGTAAGGTTATACAAAATGAAATACATAACTTCAACTGAAAGGCCAAGGGTAAGTTCTGCTGTCAATTTGCAAAACGAACCGCCGCCATTTTATATCTGCGCGCGCGCTTGTAGACAGTAAGCACGAGGTAGCTTCTCACAAACGTTACATATTTTGAGGCCCACTCTATTAGTCACATTTTACAGAAGGAAGAAAATAAAAAGAGATGGACAGGAATTCATCTCCTGCTTTCCTTCAAACTTAATTTCGTTGGGGCTAATACGGTGAAAACATGAATCACATGCGTAACGCTACTAGCAAAATAAAAGACAATCACAGTGTGTAACCCAGCAACAACCATCTAATACACCACTCACACTCAGCACCCAACCGACAAATTTACCATAAACAACAAGAACATTCACAACAAACGAAACCGATTAAGGATATCAACACGTACGTATCACTAGACATTATAGTACACCAAACTGAGCACTGCCATGAAGAGATAAAGAACACCCAGAACTTCCGCTCGTGGCTGGTTCGCTCGTGGCTGGCCGCTGGAATTGGCATTGGGCCCCGAAGCTGAACCTGATGAGGTGGGTCCGCGATGCTGGCAGATTCTAGGACGGCTGCAGGGGCTTCAGCTGGACTTAGGGCACCCGATGGGACCAACGATAGGAGATCTCCAGCTTGGACTGGGAAGATGGAGTAGGGTTTGGAGTTTGGATCAGCACATGGACTCCCTGAACAATATAGATTGACATGTTAATGTCTGTTGCATTGACACTCGAAGAAGAATTTCAAGAGAGAATGAATTAAGGAGAAGGGTTAATCGCAAATAGAGAACCCCTGTAGTTCTATTGCTGCTTTCTTGCAGATAGACCCATGATTTTGTTGACTCCTACACCCTCAGAGAAAGAGGAAACTATTTTTGACAAATAGACCTCCAGAGGGCAAAAGAGTTTTTCACTCGGGGAGCAAGAATAAAACTACATGGGCCTATCAGCAATTAACCCTAACAAGAATGAAGAAGAATAGCATATTGATCCTTCTAAATAGTTTTAGGTACAATACTGCATCATGAGCTAACTTGAGTAGCATTATAAGCTTTCCTACCCATCCTGCAAACCCCTAACAACGCCCTTTCTTTATTTCCTCCCTCTCCTTTGTTGTGTGCACACATACACGCACACATGTTGTGGCTGACAGCTGACACTCTTTTTAAAGACACAACGAGCACAAAAATGAGGTCACAATGGACTTGTGGATGTATACTACGACTCTAAGATATATGATGAGAAATGAGTGCTTGGAGAGCCCATTGAGATGGTTCGCCACCATACAACAAAAGCCACAACTCACCAAGTTAGAAGAGGTGTGGAGATTATAATTAATGGAACAAGGAGGCCTGGAGATAGGCTTAAGAGAACTTGGATGGAATCAACTAAGAATGATATAACAGTGTTTACCCCTAAACAGAATTGAATGGAAGAATATGATTCACGTAGGCTGACCTCATTCTCAACTACAATGCTTAGAATTAGGGGTGCATTCGGTCCGGATATGGTTCGGATATGACACTTATCATATCCATATCCGCTTTCTAAAAACAAATATGGATACAAATATGCGTCGGTTAGAAAAAGTCAAGACCATATCTGCGCTAAACGGAAATAGATACGGTTCGGATATTAGAGAATCAAATAAAGTTATGATCACATATACAAATTGGATATTTAAGAAACATATATGATTCAGACATATATCGGATATGACAAAAAATGTACAACCACAGAATAAGATAGTACATACAGATAGAATCACTTATCTAATCTAAACATTGAACAAGTGGCCAAGGTTCAAATCTTGGCAAGTTTGCATTATATTGTTATTCATATTTTTTCTTAAAATCAATATCCGGATATCCGAACCATATCCGCTAGTTAAACCCGATTACTGTATCCAGAACCGTATCTGAGTAAAAAGGGAAAATCATATCCGAAACCGAAACCGTATTCGATCAGTTTCAGATTTTGGCTACCATATCCGCATCATTATCGGATATGGTTGCGGTCGGTTCGGATATATCCGAACCGTTTAGCACCCCTACTTAGAATACCTTAAGAAGGCTCTCGCCTGGGACCGTTGAGAGCAATTTTATCGCCTTTTGTGTTGACAAAAAGCGGAGTCATGTGAGAATAAAAAAAATTGTGTTCAGCATTGCTACATAATCATTACATAATCTGCTATACTGCTATTGACACAACTTTTTGTACTATCGGTCAACATCAAACTGCCCATAAAAGATAATACTTGGGAACTGAATTCTTAGATAAAAAAACGGCACGGATAAATAGCCAACAATAATGGTAACACTGATGATACTAGTCATGGTGATGGCAATAGTAAGATTGTACCACAAATTTTAATTTGGGCATGATATTTCGATTCAGAGACTTGTGGCTTCTTTATTTATGTTCTCAAATTAATGTACTCAGCTTTTTGTGTGATTATTCAAATCTTATCAAGGTTATTAATCTTAAAGATTAAAGCAATTGTTTTTTCCTAAAGTACATAGGACTTTCATTATCTCTTAAGTGTATGCAAAAATCACATAGCATCTGTTCCTAATAGCAAATGATTGATCTCTTCAACTTTTTATATATTAAATATAGATGATGCATAATGCTTACTCAGGTAGGCGTTAGCAGTTTTTGGGAATTCTGTGATAACTCCATCCACCCCCTGACTAGCGATAAAACTTGCAAGTTCCTCCATAGGATCAGAGAAGAAATCAAATGCCACCGCCATGAATTCATTCCTCAGTACTTCCACATAAACAGAGATGTTGGCTGCATGCATTTCTTTCACCACATTGTAGGTAGTAGAGAGGAAGGAGTCTGTGAACTTAAAAATGGAAGATCTTGTGATGGTAACTGAGTCTGCGAACTTCTTGATCTCATCCGCAGAAGGCTTCGGAACATCACTTATTGTCTCTTCGATAAAAAGGACTCGCTTGTAGCTGGGAGAGGTCTTGAATACAGAGAGAACTGAGGTGTCATCAGACTGGATAAATACTTGCTGATTGGCCACTTTGTCATAAGTGGCTTTAGTCAAGGCCGAGGAGACTGCATCAACTATACCAAGACCCTTCTGAGATGCAAGGAAAGCAGCATTCTGCATGTTATAAGAACAAAAAAAAGGGGTTAGCTTCATTATGGGTGGTTCAACTCTTTCCAATTTAAAAAAAACGCTGGTGATTTTGAATGGTTCTGTTCATCCAAGTATAGCAATTCGATATTTCTGCAGTCTGGATTCTCAGCTTCGAACATCATAATATTTTCTATTGGAGAATATTTTTTTCTTGCAAATGCGACGTATACATAGAGCCCAAAGATATGCACAAATATAATCATCAAGGCCTTAACAGATATGTGACAAATCTGATGTTGAAAAAAGAAAATATAGAGTGGGTTTGCTCCAGTCGTCTGAGTGCCAAGTTTAAGCATAACACATTTTAAAAGATAGCAAGACTTCAATCAAGAAATTCTGGTGCATAAGAAACTGAAATAGTGAAACAATATCCACAGTTCAAACAAACATAAGCTTGTTAAAGGCTATGTTTAAACTGCAGATAATATTGAGGATAGTGGGCCCCATGAACTTTGATTCAGGTTTTTTATATTCTTGTTGTATAGCCTCAAAGTGAATTTGACTTCTCAAAATAGTTATACATGGCCATCAGCATGTAAGACGATAATGATTTACCATCTATAAGATTTACGATCACAACGCATATGAAATAAACAACAGAATATCATACATAGGATGCCGCAAGCATGTGCCTTCCAAGTTCAGAAAATGTATCTTTCTTTTATGCAGTAGGACTGTTGCATTATTTATGTTATTTGTCTACCAATCATTTTTAATGAGATGCGACAGTCTAAAATTTTACAATTTTCTGTTAAAGGAGATGCCAAGTGCTCAACATAAGGATCAACGTGCCCCGCAAATCTGAATCCATATGTTTCAACTATATGTTGGTCTATTTCAACATTTGTTGACTAATTAAAATTAACGAGAGGATGTGCTAGAATCATGTGCTTGCAATAGACTGGTGTTTGTCAAGCATGTATACATGTGCTTCATTGACTTTCACATTTGGACTTGATGTGCAACATGATGAAAGTTTTATGACAGCCCATCCAGCATGTATAGACGTGCTTCATTGAATTCCCATATCTGACATGTATCCAATAAGAATGCACCCTACCCACCCCAGCACCGACAACAGAAAATTCAAGAGGAATTCAGGTGAAATTGGTGGACCTGATGTGGACAAACTTACAATATTTAAAGACATTACAACTTGAACCTATTACAGTTTAGGATTAATTGCAGATGCGCACCCCTACATTATGAAGTTTTAGTTACTTATGACCTCAATTCTATCCTATTACAAATATACACACTGGTCATGCAGACAATTCGGCTTTTTTACTAGATTTTACTGGCGTGGAAAACATGTGAGAATGTCCTTGCAAATATCGGACTCTGCCTATCACATGCCTCCTGCAAACGTTTTAAAGCTAACGGAAAAGTAATGTCATCACCTTGACTAGGGTAATAACTACTAAGTGAGTATACCCTAGAGTGCAGGGGAAGTATCTGCAATTTCAACAGCCCCTTGCACTAGAACAACACGATGATAAAACACATAATTCTAAAGTGACGACCCAACATCTGACTATCACATTCAGTTACCTAGCCAACCTAGCACGTAATGTTGGTTAAGGAGAAGGTGACCCTTTGTAAATCCTTTAGTTTCAGAACTTACACTAATATAAACTATTGTAACCATAAATTGTAAAAATAATATACTGCAATAGTTGCACAAGAATAAGACACAAGTTGTAGTGACATTCTTACCTGTATCCTGATTAAGATACCTTGTAGAGTGCTCTTCTTAGCAAACTCCAGAAAGTCATCCAGAGTCATCAACTTGCCTTGATTTTTTGCTGCAGGATTTCTTAAAAGTCCAGCTTGATAGAAGGGGCTAGTCAGTTGCGCTGGAAAAGGAAGGGACAAGAAAGGAAAAAAATATATGAATAAGCCATTTAATGTGGGATAGCTTTGTTGCCTAATTTATAATTGAAGATCATGAGCAAGAAACAAATCAATTCCTCAAAGTATGCATATTCATGAAGAAAAGAATGCTAGTTGAGAATGTTTACTATTGTTGTGTGCAGAAACTACTCTACTAAAAGCAAATTTCAACTCAATATGATAGTTGACGATAAGAAAATTAGTTCTACAATATCAGTTTTATTTTCTCTTTATGTCTAAAGTACAAATAAAAAATGTAAGTGTTAGTTGGAAAAACCAGATTTCCAAAACTAAATATCAGCTTCTGACTTCAAGATGGAACGCAGAAATTTTAGTCAACATATATAGCACTACAGATACTCTAACTTGTGTCAACCTCAATTGGATCCTATTGACAAAACCGTGCATAACATATCCTCTAGCAGAATTTTATAATAAATAAACTTAAATATAATAATACAAAAAAACTTAAACCAAATGTTAGTCCTATTGAGTTAGTTATCATAGCATGGGACTGGCTAAGGGGTAGAGAACCTCCACATCCTCAATTGTAGAGAAACTCAACAACTCACCAATTAAATCTTTTCACTAAGCGGACCCCATGAATGATATTAATTATTTAAATCATATAAAAAACATTCAATTGTGGGGCCCACTAAGATACACTAATAGTATTAATCTACATAGCTAATTGTACGCTTTCTCTACAACCAAAATTGTAGAGAATCCAGACCCCTTGCTAAGAGTGCTCAAAAACCACATTCA